GACACAGACTCCATATAAAATAAACGTAAACGTTGTGGTTCAATAAACCACAGAGGCGACGCTAGAAGTTAACGGTTACCCGTATAAATAGCTGTCATGTTACCTACACTTTACACTAATCGCATAAGAAATGAATTTGTTGCGCACACCATGTTGATCAGTGTAGCTTATTTTGCATAGCCAATTGGCAATAGAAGCAGCCGCTAAATTGAGCTAAGGTTGAGTAATTTTATCTCTTGCCTCTATTTATAAACCATTATATATATAAAATTGTGAAAAGCTTTTATTATTTGACGGCGCGCAGTGAGCACAATTTAAACGTGCCTATAAAAAAGAGATTTGCACAAATCTAAATACGCACACACACACATACACATACACACACACAGAATTATATACACAAAAATCCGAAATTTTGCATCGCTCTCCACACGTTGTGATTTTTACGATTCTTTTTTTATGATTTATCAACACTTAAATCTACTTACCATATGATATACATATGCATACACACATATGATTTTTTTTTTTTTTGCATGCCCTCAAATATGTACATATGATGAGTGGGTATAGAATCCAAGCAAACACAAAAGAAATGACGAATCTGTGGATATATATATTTACCCACGGTTAGGGGCATCAAATGATGACCGACAAACGTTTGAGTAGCAAAAAGCAAATAGCGGGCCCTCCTCTTTGATACCCTGTAAGGTGAGGCATTTCCGAATGACAATATTGAATAATAATAAGGTTGCAACAGGTTTTCTAGGTAATTAGTAAGAGTTCACATTCTTAATAATATCATTCATTTGTTGGGATTTTTCCTTAATACAATTTTATACATATTTTGAAATTTGTACCTTCATATATTTAAAATCGTATATTATATATAATTACTTAAAATGCAGCAGCTAATTTTAGCAAGTCATATGCTTGGGATAATCGTGTTTTAATTTATTGCATGGAATATTAAAATATATAGACGGTTGTTGACAATATTTGTATACAGAAATATTCTGATTCAAATTCTCATATTGCTTTCATGCGCCGCTCTCTGAGCGAGATTTATTTATATATTATATGATGTGTATTTAATTAGATAACATTTTCTACACGGTATCTGCCAGCCCATACAAGGAAATTGCAGTAGACTTAGTCTTAGTTGCTAATGTGATCGCTTCTTTTTATTTAATTTTTTGGCATCTCATGAGTCAAGGTTAGGCGCATTTGTCATCATTTAACTTTAAAGCTGATTTTGTTCATGTTGTTGTTGTTGTTGTTGCTGCTGCTGTTGTCTCTGATTTCTTCCAATTTACGAAAAATGTTTGTTCTAAGCTGGTTCGCCATTAAATGCCACTTGGAAGTCAAGCGATTCCATTTCTCCCTTCCCCACCACTTTTTTGTTTTAAGTAAGCGCATATTCAAATCGTATGCCGCCGGACGGTGTCAAAGCCCCGCCCACCGTCCACTGCCACTTCCCCCCGAGACTGGCCACATGGCTAATTTTCAGCTTCCTGTCGACTGTTTATTATTTGCAGCGCACGTGTGAGAATGGCGAGCAGAACGCAATCAATTAAGTGAAATCACGATCAAATTATGATAAGAAGCATATTTTAAAATGCAATTAAGCGCATTAATTGCAATTTCGCGGCAGTTGACACAAACTGGTCAAGCAGGTGGCCCCAAAATGGCGAAAACCAATGAAATTTAGCAAAATGACAGATTTTGATAAATGCCACCGCCAACTGTGTTGCAGAAACTTTGGCTTTTGCATTTCCAACTTGCAGCGCGGAGAAAGTCTTTTTCCCAGTCTTTCATTGGCAACATAAGCAATTTGTCAACACCAGCCCATTTGAAGAAGACATTTGTGAATTGCTGTTGTTGTTGTTGTGGTTGTTGTTGTTGCTGCTGCTGTTGCTGTTGTCACTTGTATTTGGTCACGTTTAACCAAACTCAATGACACAATTTGTTAAGACCACTTTTCACATGTCAAGCAGCGGTGGCTTCATCTGCAGCGGTAATCAGTAAACAGCAACTGTTTACAGTTGAGTTGACCTTGAGCCTGACAATCACTCTCTCTCTCTCTCTCTCTCTCTCTCTCTCTCACGAAAATACATTTGTATCTTTTTATCTGTATCTCAACACATTTGCATATGTGTGCCGCCTCATTTCCAGTTGGCATTTTCTGTCTCGCCGAGCAACAGCAGCCCGCATCATTATCGCAACGATGACGACGACGGCTGCTGCGCCTGCGCTTTAATTATGCGCTCTGTGCCACCACTTGCGGCCCTTGCTTGCCGCAGCTGCTGCACATGCCCCGGCATACATATAGTTGGTGATATTTTGTATCGCCGTCTGCCAACAAATTGCTCGAATATTGGCGCGCCGCTGCGCACAGTTGCACAAAACTGTTTCCGTCCTTGAATGTGGCAAAGCTTTCTATACCCTTGCCGAGGGTATTAAATGTATGTCACGAGAGGTGCAACGAATTGAAAGAGGCATATGCGACACCAGAAACTATCTGCTTATATATACACTTATACACATTTTTCTGCTTACCAAGGTCAGCAGAGATTTAGCTATCTATAATTGCCAGTGCTTTCCTTTGTGTTTCTATACTAAGTCTGTCTGGCAGTTTTTATAATATCTGATAAAAAAAAATGCAAACCATAAAACAGTTTTTTTATTTTACTATTTAAAAATATATTTTATATTTGATGAGGATTGAGTTAAATGCTTCCAGAAAATAGAATAATTATTTGACATTTGCTAAGCGTTTTGAATTTATCATTTTTATTGGTCTACACATTTTTATTAAGTTATTTTTAAAAATATTTGATATAAAAAGAAAGCTATAAAATTGGAATGAGTTGAATTTCATTTGTATTAGTTTGAATAAAAAGAAATATTTGTAGAAATTATACGAATTTGTGAATTATAAAATTTGAATTTTTTTTTTTTTTTTTTGCACGGCCAAAAATCACCAGACAAAAAGTTAATTTCGTTAATTATATAAACGATTAAAAAAATTATATGCATCTGCCTGAGGATTTAATCATTAACAAAAATGTATTATTTCTTATTTATAATTGGAATCACATTTTTTTTAAGAATCAGCATGACCATGCGTAATGAAAGGTACTGAATTTCAACTTCAAATTACTTTTAATTACGAAAATCCAAAAATGAGAATAATTATAACTGAAGCTGTTGGAAAGTTAGCACAATCTGACTGGCGCTCAGTTCCATTCCTCTTGGGAATCGTCAACACTTGAATTATTCAAGCGCACTTCGCTGTAAATTACAAAATTGTTGGCGGCTGCCATTTTAGCGTGCAGCTATTGCATCTAACAGATACTTATGCGGCGCACAGATGCAGATGTGCTAGTCTTGTCGATTAGCGTGTGGCTTACAGTCAGTATCTCTATCTCTATATCTATATCTATATTCAGACAAATATGTACTTATTCATTGTTTTCTGAGCGTTTTGCGGTCAAAGACGCTGCGGATTCGTGCTTATCCGCTGAGGCTGAGACTGAGGAAGAGCGCGAATTGCACTTAAATTGCATACACGAGACAGACGTCAATCAGTTTGCGTTGCTCAACTAATAAATGCCCAAGCGCACACACACATAGTCAAATACACACACACACACACACACACACACACACACACACACACACACACACACACGCACAGTTTCATTCGTACAGTAAGCACACTTACAACAGATTGAGATTAAAAGCAAGCCGCTTGTTAGTCTGGCAACGTTGGAGCAGCTGCTTCGCCGACCTCAACCCCTTAACCCAACCTGGCGCATACTAAATGGACTTGATCTTTATCTCTTCGAGTGTATATATATATATATATATATATTTATGTGTGTGTGTGTGGGCAGAGGCTAGTTGAGCTCTTTAAGAGACAAATGCTGACAGGTGAATCACTTAATTAGAGTCTGGTCGAGGGGCAGTGAAAGTCACATGATAGATCGTTAAATATATTAAACTCAAGTGCTAATCGTCACTAGCATTTATAGCTGTAGTTTAAATTTAAAATAAGTGCTTAGTTATTAATGCATATAGTTAATTTTGTGTAATTTTGGCTTGCTGATCTGTAGCTCCTTGTAATTATTTTAATGATATGTATCCTTTTGGATAATGGTTTTAGTTTAACTCACAAATAACTGAAAACCTTTATACAATTTTACGAATCGCAAGTCTTAATTTCTAAACCCTTATTGATTCTACTATCAATGTTTCATTCACGTTGTTCATTGATTTGTGAAAGTCATTCCTATTGCATGGAAAATTCCTTAGTGTTTTCCTTAAGGAAATATATTTTATTAATGCTGTTCAAACAATTTGTATGCTGTGCGAATCAAAGGCAAGCATAATTACTTTTGCAACTGATTAAAAGGAGAGACATGTTTCACATTTGCTCAATCATATTTCCACTTTATTTGGCATTACTTAGCTACATTTACTGACTGACTGATTCACACAGGCGTGTGTCAGGTGCTTGAGTTACTGCTGATGTCACAGTCCGCGCAAATGACTGCAAACCCCAAATTATCGTGTCGAATTTACAGACTTATCAATAGTATAGCAAAAGAAAAAAATATATTAATTACCGAGCAGAGATAACACAGTCTATTTTTTTTGCTATGCTTAAGGCGATAAGGAAATCTAAGCACGATAGCGTTTGCAGATAGTTGAGAGAGAGAGAGAGAGAGAAAAAAAGAGAGACAAATGTAATATCAGCAGAGAGAAGAGAGTGCGAGAGAGAGAGACAGAGAGAGAGAGAGATGGGAATGGGAGTGGGAGTTACTCAGCTAGCGAAATGACGTAACATGCGATTGTGTATCGATCAAAGCGATCAAAGCTCATGGAATCGACTAGATACAGTTAGTTTTCGTTGCGTTGTTAGCCGAGGTAGTCTTGAGTTCATTAAGAAAACCACAATTTATTAATCAACTTTATTTCTCTTTGTCCATTTCCAGTTAAGAGCTGAGCTAGCAAGTAGATCTAATCACCCATCCACACCCCAAACCAGCTCAGATAACAAACACACACAGTCATGGAGCGTCTAAATTTGGCTGCACTGCTGGCGCTGTTGCTGTGCGTTTGTGCGTCAGCTTCGCCCGCCTTCTACTGCCCCGAGGACTGCAGCTGCGTCCTGTCGCAACACACACACAAGCCAATGCTGCACGCCAAGTGCAACAGCACGAAAGGATTGCAATTATCGGAGCAGCCACTGCACGCCTCCATTCCGATACATTCCATCGATTTGTCGTATTTGGGATTGACGAGATTGGAGCATGCGCTTGACATGCTGCCCAATCTGACCTCTGTGAATCTGTCGCACAACGACCTGCACGAGATTGGGCACCTGAGCAAGCGCATCAAGAAGCTCAACGTGAAGCATAATCGCTTGACGTCCGCCAAGCTGCTTAAACTGCCGCAGCACTTGCAGGTCCTCAATCTGCAGCACAATGACATCACGTATCTGCCGATTGAGCTAACACATCTGCATCATCTGCAGCAGCTGGAACTGGGACACAATAACATCAATTGCTCATGCGGTACACTGGAGGTGCGCAACTGGCTCCAGGAGCGTCATGTTTACATGGAAAAGCCGGTGATTTGCACCCTTCCAGCGGAGGCGAATGGCAAACCCTGGTTGCAACTGAAGCAGTCTGAGGTGTGCGAGAAGGAGAAGAGCGGCTTCTATGCCAACGACATGACTGATGAGAACGAGCTGATGATGGGCGATCAGCCCGTGGCAGATTCTGGCGAACAGGACAACGAGGAGGAGGAGGAATTGACCAACTCCTTTATGGTAATCGGCAAGAACAAGACACCAGAGCCAGCATCGAACCCCAACAACGATGTTGAGGGCTCCGGAGATTTGACCGAACCGAATATGGAAGTCAAAGCAGCCGATTCGAACTCTGCGGCAGATGAGTCCAAGATACCTGTGGACGATGAGGATGGCTCCGGCAGCGGGGATGGCATTCTTTATATACCACAGATTGCATCTGGTCCTGACAGCAGAGATGACTTTGATGAGTCGCCCGATTCTGCTGAACATGGCAAAGACATCGACAACAAATACGACAATCAGCCGATGGAGCCACCATCAACGCCTTCATCGGTCATCTTCAATAACATTGGTATCTTTGACACCGCTGAAAACGATGGCGACGCAATTAAGCCCGTCAATGAGGAAATCATTGTGCCGGCGGTACACACTCTACTGGATGCGGATGCTCCCTCGGATGTTGTCACCGATGGCCCACTCGACTTAGACAAGACGTCCGAAGATATTTTGACTGCCAAAATGGGCAAGAAGGACGATAGCAATGCCATTTACTATCTGTTGGGTGTCATTGCTCTCATCGTTGTGGGTCTGATCCTCTTCGTGGCCATTAAACGCTGCAAGTACAACAGCAATGCGGCGGCCCGTGATGCCGAGGCGCAGCGTCAGACGGAGCTGCTGGACATGGACAAGAAGCAGCTGGGCAAGCCGCTGGCCCGCAACGGCCAAGAGCATGCGCCGCTCATTGGAGAGAAGGGCAAGGTGGATGATGCCCAGATTATCAATGGCGCCGGGAAGAAGCCCTACGATAGCAAGGACAACGCTGGGCAACAGCCACTACTTAATGGCAACGGTGCAGCCAATGGCGATGGCAAGGAGGTGCCCAAAATTGTTGAACCCCTTGCCGGTGAACCGGCACCACATGAATACTACCCAATCACACCGAGATATCCGACACCGCAGTCACCGCGTGCATCCAAATATGCACAGCATCCACAGGGCGATGCTGGCGAGCAGAACAACAACAACAATAACAACAATGAACCCGATGGAGCCTATTTGCCATCATCACCCAAGTCCGGTCGTTACTCGCCCGTCTATTCTCCGGAAACGGGACGTGTTAAGATCAAGCTGACGGAGACACCCAAGCCGAAGACACCGATGCTTGTGACGCGCAGCAAATCCAATGCTGGCGATATCATCACAACGCCCGTTCAGGGTGCCGGCAGTTATCTGGAGCCAACGCATCAGGTGAATGGCATTGCCGGCCACTGAGCTCCGGATCCCAAGGCTGACTCCAAGTGCCAAGCTAGCAACAACAACAAAAACAACAACAACAGCAACAACACGAGCATCAGCATTAGAGCTTCTTTGAGCTGGGCTTAGAGTGTGGTGATCGATGAGTGGTAATCGGTAATCGATAAGACGATAAGACGATAACGGTGCTTTTGAATACGACAACAGCAAACAAACAGCAAGAACTATTCGTTTTAAGCTCCCGCTCCCCTCTTAAACATACATATACATATGCATATATATATATATATAGTTACATATATACATATATATTGTAACCTTTGTAGTTTTAGCATTAAGTAAATTAATTATACTTAAGCATAAATCTAGTTTAATACCAAAGTTAAAAAATATCTTATATGTAAATTTGCATCAGCGCGAAATACAAGAAAAATCATTGATGACACTTTACAACACTATTTTTCTACTGGCATCCGCATGTGACACACACACACACACCATTACTTACTATACGAATGCATGCATCTAATGTATACTTTTATATCCGTAATGTATGTTATTTAAGCTCTATTCTCTTGTGAAATTATAATGTGTTACTCTGTTCGTGTGAATGACTTTTCAATTCAACGTAAGCCTATCAATAAAAACAAAAACGACAACATTACAAAGCCCACTCGATTCACTTTTGAATTAAAACAAAAAGCCCTCGCTGTACTTGGGCACTTGCGTCAGTCAAGTTTCGCACTAAGGTGCGTGCATTTGATAATATGCTGAGTGTGGGAATGGCTTATGTCTCGGCTGTTCACCATTTAAATACACTGGCGGTCGAAATAATGAGATAGCCATCACAAGACAATAGTTGATAATGTTTAATTAATAATGATTAAGTGTCTAGTACTTAAGCAATTACTCAAGTTGTACAAGAGCACACAAATCCAGTTACAAATAAACATACACTTCGTGTACCAATACGTATATTTTCTTTTGCTATGCAGGATATAATGGCAGGTTGCTGTTTAGGATAGCATGTGCACGCATCCGTGACACACACAAGGTTGCTGCATTGGCTAAAGAGCACTGAAGCAAAAAAGCATACTTTTAGGAGCGCGCTGGTGTCAAATATAAAAGCTTTAAGTCTGTGCTCTACAGCAGATTGTGCAAGTGAAACAGATTATTCACTCGCATTTATTTCAATGCAAAACTGTTGTTCGAATATATTTTATCTAAGATGCATTTGTTATATGAAATTTAAATTAGTCTTAAGAGGTTTACGTAGTTAGAATATTTGTCGTTTTGAGTGCTTAAAATAGGGTTTCTCTCATGGGCTTGTGGACTTGTGCATTCCTCCCCACATCCTCGCAGGAAGAGGAGGAACTGTCGCCGGCCGCCGCAGCGCTAAAGTTACCGCTGACCCGGCGGCTAGCCGAGTTCTTTCGCTTCTTCCGTTTGCCGGTCTCCATGCTGAGCTTAGAGTTGGATGTGGAGTCATTTGATCGGTTCTCATCGGGCAGCGAGGTGATGTCCGGTTCGGTTAGCTCCTGAAAATCACTGGCAATGGTAGACGAGGAGGCTGCCTTTTTCTTCTGTGCGCTACTGAAATAGTCCTCCACAGCCGGATCCAGTTGACCCTTTCCCACCGTATAGACCTGAGCACTGACCTGAATGCTGGGTGGTGACTTAGGCTTACGTTTCGCGAAGGGGCTGCCCGATTTAACGCCTAAATCCTCGTACTCGGGATCGGTGAGGAACTCCACACTCTCGGCCATCATATTAACCCGCTTGAACGGCGGTATCTCGGCTATCTTTGGCTTGCGTTTCGTATACGGACTGTTCTCGTAGCTCTGGAAGTTACCAATTTGTTCGGCGCTCTGCAGATTCTGCTGCTTCAGACGGGCTGCCGGAAAGCGTGAGTCCTCGATGCTAAAGCGTCGACTGCCAGACTGCGTGTTGTACTCCATGTAGCCGGTGCGACGATGTGGTCCATACTGAGCCCTGCGCTCCTTGTCTCGATTCGAGAGCATCTCCACGCTGCGGAACCTCTGGTGAGTGTCCAGCTGCTGTTCCACCTCGCCATCAGAGTGATCACCATCTGGATGAGTATGGGATCGGCGCAGCTGCTTGCGTTTGCGCTCCGTCGCGGTCAGGTCTAGCATCGACTTGGCGGGTCGCTCCAGCTTGGGCATAAGCAGTGCGTCTTCATACGAGGGCAACACACTAATCTCGTTGGTCTGCTGCAGCGTCGTCGAAGACTCCTCACGCATCATGCGGTCGTTGAGATCACGGCTGAAGGAAAATAATTGTAGTGATCGAATTTGGAATAATCATTCTATTTAAATTCCTCTTATTTTAAGGTTCAGCTCAAAGTTCATTCGTAATGAAATAGTTTAAGCTGTCAGCATATTAATAATAACCAATAAAGAAATTTAGAATTAGTTTACCTAAAGCATTGGTACTTACATGCGCCTGAGCTCCTCATGATTTTCATTGAGTTCCCTGCGATTGTTACGCTTCTTGCGCTGACGCATCATCTTCTGGAAGCAACCAAGCATCAGGGCCAGCAGACCGAGGGCCAGAATTGTGAGCATTATGGCGGACCAGACCTTCTCCCCGCTGCTGCTGCGTGCACTTGCTGACCAGACCGACATGCAAGCATAATCCCAGAGCTGACCATAAAACACTGCTGGTGAGGCGCAGCGCAAATGTATACGATCCTTTAGCTGTGGGAGCAGTTGGAAAATTTGGTTACCAGGGTGAATATCTAAATGGGCATTTGCCTGGCCTACCTTAGGGGGCTTAGCTGTCAGATAGTCATAAAATTCTACGAACATGGGATTATGGCACTCGCATATCCAGGGATTGTCGCCCAGCCAGATTTGATCCAGAAACTTGTTGGCACGAAAATATGCTGGCGGTATGGGATTGGTCAATCGATTGCCATTCAAATGCAGATTTGCCAGTTCGGGAAAGCCAGAAAAAGTGCCATTCCTAATGGTCGAAAGCCTGATGAAGGAGAGATAAATTTCAATAAATAAACAAGCAAAAGCGTTGCACGCGAGAACAGTCTTGGCTTGGTCTTCAAACGAATCGATATTAGTGCTACGCATAGATTAGATTAGATAGAAATCCGTAAAAAAAATCGTCTCTTTAATTACGAATGAAATGAGTCAACACTTCTCGTGTCCAAAATACAATTCAACTTGCGATGTCGAAAATGGCTTTTAGGACTCACCTGCAGTTGGCCAAATTTAGATGTTGCAGTGTCTCCGAATGCATTAAATTTGGTATGTCGCTGATTAGATTATTGGATAGGTCCAAGTTCTGAATGGCCGATAGACTGGAGAGAGCTGTGTTCTCAATTGAGCTTATTTCACACCAGCTCATGTTTATCAGGCGCACCGAGTTAGAGACGATCTTCGTCAGCTTCTGTATGATGTTGCGACTCAAGTTCAGCTCCAGGAGTATATCGTTGCCGCGTATGAGATTGCGGTCCAGATAGGCAATCTCATTGTAGGCCAGGTTCAAATGCTTAAGTCGCTTCAGCTTACTGAATGCCTCATTACCAATCAGGCGCACCACATTATTGGATAAGTCAACCAGCTCCAGCATGGTATTATTTGCAAAAGTGTGCTCATCAACTAAACGTAATAGATTCCCTCGCAGACGCACTTCCACCAGCACGGGCATGCCACTAAGATCGATCTGATCGAGATTGCAGTAGGATGCATCCAGTTTGAGCAGCTCGTAGGCCACAATCAAATCCTCATCCATGCTGCCAAATTGTAGAGCCGTATTGTGTGATATATTCAGCACCTCCAAATTGGGTAATGCCTCAAAAAATGTGGAACTCAGTCGTTGCAAGCCGCAGTTGCTCAAGTCCAATTCGCGTAAACTTTTCGAGGGCAAGCGTAGCAGCTGCGTAAGCTGATTATTTGCCAGAGACAGGCGCTGCAGGTTGGGAAGTTTATTCACCAAAATATCACCGCCAACGACGCTGATCTGAGCCGCTGAGAGATCCAGTTCGGTCAGGGATTGACTGTTCAGCTGCATTTTGGAGTCGGCGCTGGCAAAGCTGCCCAGTCGATTGCCGCTGAGGCTGAGACGCTTTAGACTGGGTGCATACTTGAAAGCCTCATTGGGACTTATCTCGGACCAGAGAACAATTGAGTTGTTGGCCAGCAGCAAAGTGCGCAGCGATGTGAAGCCAATCAAGGCGTTTGCCGCTAGATTGTCTATTTTGTTATTAGAGAGATCCAGATACAGTAGGGAATCCATATCCGCATATTGGATTGGAAACTCCTCGAAACGATTGCCCGACAAATCCAGATGCTCAAGGGGCACATTGTCGAAACTTGGATAGACGCTCAGCCCGCGGCGGGAGCAATTGGCATACAAGCTATCGACCACCCAGTAACACTTGCATGACGCCGGACAGCTGACGGCAGCGGTCCCAGACACTGCGACTAGAAAGATTGGGAGCAGCAGCATTAGCAGCAGCATTGCCATGACTGCCAAAGAGATAGAGAGAGAGAGTGGGATGTGTCAGTTGAGAGCTAGTGCGAGTGCAATCAGCTGTAGAGTCTATCTATTCTACAAACAGCCCACCCCTCACTCGATTATAACCCTTTATGTTTATTGCGCATGCATTTTATTCGGGCCTTATCAATATAAATACGCGCAAAAAACAAAGAGAGGGGCAAAGCCGAGGGTTTATTACAACGTTTACTTGGAAGTTTGACAAACTTTTGCGAATGAGCTGATATGTTTCATGGAATTCAATAAATCGAATTATAGTAATTATTTTGTTCTAAACAATTTGTGAAATAATTGTTCGGGATTCGGAATCCCCTCAGTGCCATCGGAAATTGCGTCGAATTATGCACTCAGTGACGTCGCTGTTGGAATTTATTCACCTGCTTCAATTTTGTTATGGTTTGTTCCTCGCCTCAGCTCTTATCTTATCGATGGTGTTCGCGGTTGCGGGTAGTTGAAATTAGAGCAACAAACTCAGCGAACACTCACATAAAACAAATACTTATTAGTTTTGTTGTAATTTTGTAATTTAATCCCGTGATTAAGGCATCGTTTCGAATTGGTGGCGACCATGAATATAAGTCTATATTTTATGTGCCTGAATACTATTTGGTTGAGCGCGTCTTATGTCTCCTCAATGACTGAACGACTGAATAAAAATTACTCACCTGCCACTACGGACACCGTTCAGTGCTGATAAGATAAGCCACTGATAACACACAGTGTTGGACAATTCCGTCAGCGGCTCTCACTTGCTAACTGTTGTAAAACTGATGTATCTGCCAAGACAACTATCGCAGTGAAAAATACTGCTTAAAGAATAATAAGTGGGTCAAGTTCATCACATCATTGATGAGCTAACATTCAAATTGTTATCACAAAATATTTGCTTGCACTCATGAAACCTTAAATGGAACCTCAGGTTAATATTAATAAAAAACTTATAAAAAGAAAGCTTTTCTTAATCTCAAATGAGCATCTAAAAATTATGTATACGCCTTATCCGTTGAAATGTAATAAATTCATAATTTCATTCATAAATAAAGTTAGAGATTGAATTGCAAAAATCATTGCTCTTTATTACTAGGTGAGTAAGTCAAATACGTTATTGAGAATGGGAAATTTATTGAATGAATGGACAATCAATCGTTTGTTTAAATTAGCGATAAGGAAAAATAATACTTACAACGCGTCAAATTCAGAAGCATCAAATAAGACCAGCTTAAGTCTTTCACGCTTACAACAAAGATTCTGAACAGCCAGCTAAGTTCCCATTCTTTCAGTTGTAAATCCATAAAATAAATAAGCAGAATGCGCAAAATACAGTCCTTGATGTCCTGATGGTCCCGTTTAACGCTGACGCCACTTGGCATGTGGTAAAGTGCAACTGCAAATTACGCCAAATGTGTTTTTCTCTGTGTGCGTTGTGGGAGGAGGAGAGTAAAGAACTACTGTGGGCACATACACATCCGACTGATAGGGCATTAAAATTACCCTTACTCAGCAAATGGATGCAGGCGACTCTCAACTCTGTGGATGAGGTGGATCTGGGTGGAGGGACGCGCCAGACACCTCCTAACCGGATTTATTGTAATGAAGCGTGCGCAAAACAGAAACGACGCTTTCGCTCAGACAGAACGATAAAAGATGCAGTGGGAAATAAAAAATCCGGACAACCAACAACGACAACCACAGCAACAATAACAACAACAAGAACAGCAACCAAAACTGACGTGTTGACAGCAACATATTTGTGTGTTGCACAGCCAAGGGGAGGGAGTTACATAATGCCACAGGAAAAAACTAAGGTGACAAACGAGAAGAAAATGTCTTTGAGCCGTTTTTTGTATACCCTAATAATATATATATATATAAAATCTGTGTATTCACTAAAATATATAATTATGAGACCGAAAACTAATTTATACATTTTTGAATATGATATATAAAAGAAAGAAATATATTGCATTTAAAATGGATGAAAAAAGTTATCAATTTATTTGTTTAATTTAATCTCTATTTCCCTATTTTAATTCAATAAAAAGATCTACAAATAGAAGGAAAACATCAGGAATTGTTCAGTTAAAATGTTTATTTATAAAAAGTTAATAAATTCCTCTATCAATCACTGCAGTGTTGTTATAAATTAAGACCGGTTAATCTTAACGTTGCAAAGCTATCAGGAAAGTTAAGCGATCTTCACATATACATATAAATAAATTTAGCCAGTGTACAAAGAGAAAATGATTTTTAAAAGCGTAGCAGCGATACAAATACAATAAATAAGTTGACGCTTTGCTTTTAAGGCAATCAAGAAGAAGCAGCGCGAAATCGTCCAAGTAGAATGCAGAAGTCAGCATAACGCTAACCTGATAAGCGAACGACAGGATGTAGACCGGCAGTCCTGCAACAGCCACCCACCTCCCCCCCTCGGCAACGCCTTAAGTTTAAACTATTGAATGCGTTTAATGCGGTCTGTCAGGCTCGTCAAGCGACAAATTCAGTTGCCCGGACAGCAGCAGCCACGCGTTCGCGGATAACTTCACAGATAATGAGCATCAGGAACAGGGGGAGTCGTCGCAAGAGAGAGAGAGAGAGAGAGAGAGAGAGAGAGAGAGATAGGGAGAGTAAGAGACGCATTACGAGTCCTTGCCGTTTTAATGAAGCGCACTGGCTTTGTTGGCCGCGACTGTGTGACTGAGTGACAGGAGGAGGACCTTCCTTGGTGACGGGATAATTAGCGGCTCGGGCCATGCAAAGCCAGGCAATGTCCTTGGCAGGGGCGTTGGGAATTTGCACAGTTGGAATCACAAGTTAATGCCGCACGGTCCTGCTTGCAGGCCCTTTGTGTGTGCTTTTGTTAATGGATTGATTTTCAAATTTCTCTCTCATCTAATCTGGGTGACTTGATTTTAAGCGTCTTCGGCGGCAGCACTTATGCCTCCGCTACGCTTTTATGGGCGAATTTCTTGCTGATTTTTAATAAGAAAAGAAGTGCTTTTTATTTATTTTTGGGTTTTTTTTATTTCTTTTTTTTTTCGTTCGTCTTATTATTGCTCCACTCACTTAGTGAAAGACCCACCCACAATGCAGGCGGCAAGCGCAGCCAAAAAGTTTTCGACGCTGAATGACAGCTGCGGTGTCCAGAGATAAGCGCCACCCCGACCACGCCCTCTGCCAGCGGCTGTGACACAACTGGCGATAAAGCAAATTGTGAAGTGCCTGGCAACTTTGAGCTTCTACTCCCGCTTCAGTTCCTGCTTCTGTCCAGCTTCCAGGTGAGCATCAGCGGAAGTCAGCTGGCAATGGCAATTCCTGCTGACTGGCTGTCCAAAAGTCCTGATAGCTTAGCACAGAAGTTGTTAAGCATTTGATACACACACACACACATACACACCCATAGACAGACAGACAGACAATCACACACGAGTGTCTTGTGCCGATGCCATAAAGATAAGTTTTGAGGCCACATTATAGACCTTCTAATCGGCCCCGAACGCCAATCGTCATCATCAGAAGTGGGCGCCCAGCACATAAACGACATCGTTTTTATTATTTTTATGCCTTAGCGCCTTGCCCTCCCATGTGCCCCAAAATTAGGTTTTTATTGTTAGCGAGAGGAGGGGACGGGGTGGCAGAAAACAATTTGCTTCTATCTGGAAGACGATACGTCACAAGCGGCACACATAAACATAACGGCGATAAAGTAGAGGCTGGAATTTGCATACTTCTATCTGACTTGAAGTTCCTGTGACTGTTTTGTGATGCCGACTGTAACTTTAATTATAAATATCTGTGTGGGATTTTTGGGGGCGTGGTCGGCATAGCCGACATGCTTTAGCGAAATCAAAGCGGTTTACAAAATATCTTAAATAGTAATAAATTTCGATTATTGTACACTTTATGAATTATAAGCTTAAGAGCAGGCAACTCGACAACCCCACCACTCAAAACGGGGGAGGGTATAGCGGGTCGGGAGGACAATGTGCACCTTAAACATTTCCAATGTGCCAGCAAAAGTTTGAGCCGGCACTCCACTCCAACCCTGCCCACCCCACCTCATCAGGCAGCGCCGCACCACAAACTGACAGTCTTGGCAAAGATTTAGACAAAGACGCGAGCCCAGTCACTGTTTTTCATACTGATAGCAAAGTAGTAGCTGCCCCCATTTTACGCCTTGCTACTTTCACAACCAAGAAGCGCGGGGGCAACAGCGTCTTAACGGGGCACGCCGAATGGCATTTTAACATTTTTAAGACGCGGCTACCCAGTGAAAGTCCCCATCCCCGCAACTCCCCAGCTAGCTTGAATGCCGCATCCAGCGTTGCGCCGCAAGCCTTTCGCCAAGACCTGCTTCGCAGCAGCAGCACAATGCCATAAATCAATTCGTATTAGTTTTATGAAATGTGTACCTGCGGCGTGCAGTGTCACACACACAGGCACACACACTCACACACAGATAGAAACACATACAATTCCAGCCAGACTCTTGGCTCGCTTATGCGCCTCGTATATGGAGATAATCTATTTAAATATACTAAACATTTTTATTGCTCATTTGATGCTGTTTATTCAGTCTCAAATAATAAAATGACTGATGATGATTTTCTGATTTTATAAACAACATTTGACTAGGGATACATACAAATATGTAGTTACTATTATTTATTATTATTATTAACAAGAAAATATATGAATTAATGAAAATATATTTGAATTTCCTTTGATTATCGCTTGAATGATGCCGATGCAATCAAGGATTCCTTTATCATGATTTCTTACAGCCCATAAACATCGGGAACGGTTATGTTGGCGGTTTAATGAGCAAATCTTTTTAGGCAGCAGCTTCAACTGCATCAGCAGAAAAACGTTGCCAATTAAGCGAGTCAGGCAAAGGACTTGGCATAATTCATGTCCTTGAACTGACACACACCCACACTCACACACAGACACAGACTAAATACGCATGCATATTCATTGCATACCTTAAGTCCTTCTTGCGACTGCCGGCATTTCTTTTCACACACAGTTTTTTTTTGGGGGGGGAGGTGCTGCCTAAAATTTGCATAAATCTTTGCTGGGCAAGAATTACAATATTTCTTGGTTATTTTAACTAGCTGCCCAGTGAGTCAGATTTATACCAGCGCCAGACTATGCATATTTAATGGAACTTTTGAATTATCGCCTGACAATGGGATTATCATTTTTACATTGGCCGCACACTGTGCAGGACACGGGACGCGGGACAGCAATGGACAATGGTACAGTGGGACAGAGGAACAGTGGAACACAGAGGCAAACAAAGACGCTCACCTTGAACGGTTAGCTAAGCCAAAGTCTTGACTGGGCGCCGCTCCCCTGGGGGTAATTCACAGTTGCCATAATTATCATCGTAAATTATGCGAGTAAAAGTTTTTGGGATTTTATGAAAATGAATTGAGATTGAGCCAAAAATGAAATGTGAATTTACAATTGATTTAAATAGTCGAGACGCCAGCAGCAGCAGCAGCAGCATAGCAGTGCTAGAGCAGCAGGAGTAGTAAATCAAAGCATCTTCCAATCTTTGAGCCCCTGCACCTCTTCCCCCATCCCCTACCCCATTTTGGGCAATAATCTGCAGCGCCGAGTGTCATAAATAATAATTAAACAACTCGCGTTGTTAAGTCTTTTTATTACGGCCAAAGCGAACGCGCCCAAGACAAACGACAGTTGACAGCGGGAGAGACGACGACGGCGACGGGGCAAGGATAAGATGCTCGAGCAAAGGCATGAAGGGAAGGCTTAGAGCTGGTAGCATGTGCGAGCTTTGCACGCTTACCCCCCCAACAAACTCTCAGTCTCCCAGCACCCAGTTCCCTGCTTAAAAGGAGACGCACAATTTTCCACGCAACGACTTTTCCCATGTATCGTCTGGCACATGAGCCAGACACAGAAAGTGGCGTCCAGGATACAGGCAGGTGCCAGTGTCCTGCTACCCGCTCCCCGCTCCCCCCGTCACTTCAAGGAGGATGTTAAGACGTAATTAAGAAAATAAATAATAATCGCCCGATGCCAGCAAGCAACTACAAACATGAGTTTGCGTTTGGGTTATACTGGCGCATATTTGCAGCGTGTGTGCGAGTGTGTGTTTTTCAGCTGGCGCCTTTGACTTAAGCCCACGTTGTCATATACTTATAAAATATCTGAACTAGAACAGTAACGGCTCTACTTGGGACTGGGGACAGTGGACGCCACCCGAACGCTTGTTTTGCGTAAATCCTGCTAAGGCCGAGACAACCTACAAGAAGAATTATTATCATTTAATGGTACATCGTGTAGTCCTGCCAAAGGTTTAATAAGCTCACGTCTCCAGCTCAGTTTGAACCTTTCTTGGTGGTGGCTGCAGCAGCTGACCCAAGCATTGTGAGCTGCTCAACGGCTGTGCAAAGATATGGAATGCGATCCCTACTAATAAGATTTGAGCGGATCCGTCAACTACATCATGCAGCATTTATAGAAACTATTGTTTGATTTATGTGTTCTTCATTGTTTAACAAAATATATGTAATGTGAGTAGGTGGATTCAGATTTACATGGGTATGTCATATTCAATTTTCCTAACTATCTTTTGGCAATATACTCATTAACTAATTTGACCAAAGAGGCTGTAAGTGCAGTGACAAAGCAACGGGCGAAATTTGAGGGGGTTGAACTGAGTACCATCGACCTTCGTTCATAGAAAATCGCCGTGAAAAGCGAATGTCACAAATCAAAGCGGAATTATTATTACTTATGACCATTTAATTGGACTTGCGTTTATTCATTTCAGTTTCGCTCAAAGACGCTCCTTTCTGGTTCTGGTTCGGTTTTTGTTTTTGTTTTTGTTTGGCTTGTGCAGTCAATTTGCCAAATGGCTGTGCCACAGACATTGGAAGGCAAGCAAACCACCGCAAAATTCAACCACCAAGCAGCAGAAACAAAAACAACAACAGCAACTGAAAGCAGCGCCAACTATTTGACTCGCACGCTCATTAGTTTTATTGGCCCGCATATCAGTCAAAGCCGCAAAACTATTTATGCGGCAAAGCAGCGGCCACCACCAACCCAGCGAACCCAGGTCCAGAAACAGAAATAGAAGCAAATACAGCTCCTGTTTCTGGTTCTATTTATGTTGCGCACCATTCACAGTTGTCCTTGCTGCACTTCCTTTTGGCATTGCTTCGTTTTGTGTGTTTGCTTAAGCCATTAATTGCCGAAAAGAAATTTGTCTTGTGGAAGTCACTGGAAATGTCCTTTTAATGAATTGGCATCTATCCTTTTAACATTTGCTCAATTGCAGCGCCACAAAAGCCTCTAATAAATCACAGTTAACAATACACAAACCTTTAGATGCATAAGCCCAATTAAGAGTCTAGAACTGTATCTATACCATCTGAATCTATTGGTTAGGTAATTTTCAAGATCAGTAAGGAAGTAAGGGAGTATTTAATTCACTCCATAGTATGAGAAAAGTGGAGTCCATTTAAAAAGATGGATTCAATCATTCGTTTAAATATACATAATTTATATATACATAATTTGAAGTTGTTTTATGCCTCTGGGTTTTCGCATAACACCTCTTAAAAGTCAAGCTGTAACTCTCAGTTTCATTTAATTATGTTAACATTGCATGAGATTTATTTGCCATTAAGTGTTATTATGATATCAAGTACGAAAAAGTTGTTTGAAAAGCACGATTTATGCATCGTAAGTACCTGCAAAAACCTGAGCAAAGAAATTATAAGGATTTTTTTTTGTTGAGAAAAGACTGTAGAGAAGTTGCACAAACGGCCGCAGAGACCACAAGTGCGGAGCAGTTAGCTATGTAAATGTTTTCGCAGCTGTTTATGTATTTACTTTTAATGCCACTCGAAATGGCTGGTGCTTGTAGCCCAGTAACAAGCTCCCTCCATAGAGGAGGTGAGCTGCAATTTCACACAGCAGCAGCCAACCTCACAACGCGAAGAAAATGCTAACAATTTTAATTAATGGATAAAGTTCTATAGAATTCCACGCCTCCCCTCACCATCCATCAGCTCCATCACTGACCAAATTTTACCAGTGGTCGAGCACAGGCAAAGGTATATTTTTTTTGTGGGTCGTTGGAGGAGTAAAAAAATAGTATGTACTTTATTTAAATATTTATGCAGCCCGATTCGTTGCTACTCAAAACATATTTCTCTAGCTATTCGCAAAGGAACTTTGGGAATTTTTGTTCCTCATTGTATTGCCTTGCAGCATCAAGTTGAATATCTTGTTATTATAGTTTGAGAATCGGGCCAACGAGCGACTTTTAATTTATTCTCTTTTCATTCCCAATTTCTTTAATTTTTCAAGGATTTGTTACTTTTATTTTTGTTACGTTTTAATAGTCGTTGGCCTGGTCTAATAATAATAACCAAAGAAAAATTTAAATCTAATGTGTCAATTTCTGCGAAAAAAATTTCAGAACTTCCTACAATTTGCTTCTTTAATAGATGTGTATAATAAATAAATAGTGTTAGTCGCAATTTAACAACAAAATTATGTTTCCGCCGGGAACTATTGCGCAAGACATGCGAGAATTGAGTTTGTTATTTAAAACACTGCTGAAAAGTATGCAACAGTCTTTTTATGAAATTCATAAATAAAATCCAGTTAATATGGAAGCCTAAAAATGTGCTCATAAATTGTGTGACGCCATTTCGTTAGCTACATTTGCACCTCCCACACTACCATTTCCCTTTGCCCGCTTTGTCGGCTTTTCCCGCCCGCATTTTTAATTTAAAAGTTTGCGATAACAAATGATGCACATCCCTGCAGACACAGACACACACACATAGTCACACACGCACACCCACTCACACCCCATCTTACACACATTCGCCCATTCAGATACGTACTTAAAATAAGAAATAATGTTGACTGCTGATTTAGGACTTCCCCGCGCCCCGCTCGGCTGCCACACATGCCTGATTGTACCTATATTTATCTATAGGAGTATGTATGTTTGTATGTGTGCGCGCGTGTGTATGTGTGTGTGTGTGTGTACTTGTACATGTGTAAGCGTGTCTACAATTGTGGCTTGCACAAAGGCGAACGAAATAAAGAATAAAGAAATGAGAAAAGAAATGAAGCAAACTTTGGCGCTAATAAATTGTTTCGTATCTCGTTGGAGGCAACGCTAATATACTCCGCCTGGGCAGATAACTCATACGCCGCGTGGCCAACAGCAACAGCAGCATCAGCCTCAGCAGGAGGCGGAGCAACCGCTCAGCATCTGCAGCTAGCTCGCCATTTTTTTCCCATATGCATATTTATTTCCCCTTTGCTTATCAGCGACTAACAAAAATGAAAGAAATAAAGCAAAGCAAGACCAGCCACATGAGAAATTGCCAAACACATTACCACACATTAGCCGCAGTCGCAGCCGCAGTCGCAGACACAGCAGCGACAAGGACTGTGGAGGAGATGCCCATGCGAAACTCCATGCCTCCCTATCGTACAATCGCAGCACCTACAAATGCATATGAGTTTGGTTTTCCTTTTTTGAATATGCCACATGCATCCAGTCATGTATGCTAGAAAACCATTAACTGACATAACATCTCTAGCTTGTATTCTAAGTTAATAAGCTTCTTTAAAAAGGAAAAATACACTTTTTAAAGCAGCAGAATCATCTCTTGATGATAGGTGAAAGCAACATTTTATAATTTAGTATTTTAATATTTCTACAGTTTTTAAAATCAAAGCATTCATTCATTAACAGATCCTTGCTTTTCACATCTGCCAGGTAAATAGCCATTTTTGAGTAAATGTTGACCAAGCTAACTGATACGAATGGTAAAGTTGCTGATTTGTCAAGTAAAACTCTTTTCATCGTAAATCATTTTGAGTTTCGCTTACAGGTATTAAGGATGATTGTACGTAAGCCAATTGATAATATTCAAGTTAATGCAATAAAAAATCCTGTTAGGGGTTTCACTAGCTGATTAACTAAACAAATTTAGGTCATGTTTATCTGAAAATATTCGATCGAGCGTAGCCCCATATGTATTAATCAGTAAAAAAGCCATTAGCTTTCTTTAACACAATTATCGTACTACGTGCTTATTGCCACAACCCAACTTTCATATGAACAAGACAGTCAAAGTCTATTTTGAAGGCTAACGATTGCGACAACATTTTTGATTAATCAGCCCTGAGGTTATTTAATTCCAGTTAAACCTGCAACTTATCGCTTAGTAATTTCTTCGAAGAATGTCTTAAATGCAGATGCCGTAACGCAAAATACTTATTTATAGGCTAAATTGCGCCATTATCCGCTTAAATATGGTCGCCCCCAAATCCAGTCTTTCACTAAGATCCAATCGGGGCTGTAAGTAGATACTTTATCTCAAAAGAGTATAGATTGGGACATATTCTATTCCCACTTACATTTGTAAAGTGCGATTCAAGTTATGGATAAAATAAAAAGACAACACATTGAGTTCAGCTCAAATTTGACATTTAAAATTGTATTTATTTAATTATTTAATAATTGCTGGGAATACATATTATAATATAATGTATGTGTATCTGTAATATTTATTTGTTTGTGTGTTATCATGCTTTCAATAAATTACAAGTAAATTTAAATTGTTTTTATTTTCGATTTGTATGCTTATGGATCTAGTGGAACAATTCGTTAAACATGTTTAAGTGTAGATATAAATGTGAATCTACTCGTAATTGTTATCAAACTCCTGAAATTTAATTAGTTAAATACACAACGGAATAGTTGAAACATCTGCTGAATATTTTCGAAACAAAATATTATTATTTAGTTGGCTGTAGCTTTATATTTTTTTGCAGGTATTAAATACCAAGATATACAACGAAATCCACTAAAGATAATATTTAATTATTATTGTTTTTTTTTCTTTCTCTTTACATTCAATGAGCCAAAGATATGTGCTAAGCTGGAAAACGAATTTAAATAAGGCAAAAACTTTTAGAAATTAGACAAAGTATTTAAAAACGAGAAATTCCCAATGCTCGTAACTAGTCGTATATTAATATTGAATAGGTAGGCATAACATACATATTTACAGATGAAATTAGCTTTCTTTGGTTACACGCCTAACTCGCAAATTGATAGATAATTAAACTTATTTAAATATAGAGTGCTATTAGATATATTTGATTAGGTCATGCTAAGCTAAGTCGTTTGTCAAAATGTTTCTGCGTAAATAAATTAAAGTACTATTAGTTGATCTAAGTATAATTTTTAACTAATTTTTGCTAAATATTCCGCGGCAACTGCCTAGCTTACTGGGACCGAAAGTGTGTTTGTTACTGGGTCATCAACTGGTACACCTCCTGCTATAATACTTGTAGAGAGTTTGCTTACGGGATTATGTTAAGTTTTTTTTTTTTTTTGTTTGCATTTTTCATCTTTTTTTGTTTGTTTGTTTGTTTTTTTTTGTTGTTTGTTTTTGTCATAGCTGCATAGGACTTAACTCTTAAATAGAAATGTAGTTCTGTTTTGTTGGTAGCCAGGTTTATTTACAAATGCTTCTAGCAAGCGGTAAGATGGCCTGACAAATGTTCCAATATTTTGATTTTAATACTCTTGTCGCAACTAATCGCGTTCCTCGTATTTGGGCACAAACGAACTCAGGCCGCCCAGCTGGTTGCACTGGCTGTTATCATAGAGCGACATCTTGAGACGCTTGCACTTGGCCCGCCGGTTCTTAAACCAGAACTGCACGTTCTTGCTCTCCAGTCGCGGAAACTTTTGGCTAAAACGGCAAAAGCAAATAAATATATATTTATTAGTTTATTTAAATTCATTGTTGTGAAGTGATATTTGTCGATGTGTGTATATGTTAAAAGATAATTGAAGTAAGGCTGTGCTGCTGCCTTTACTTACCGGTAGGGCATGGTGTTGAGATCCTCGGTGTACTTGAGGATAAGGTTGTGGGAGGGATGCGTATTCATGGCAAACCATTGCTCCAGCTTGGGCACCTCCGTAACCGGGTCGATGAAGGTGCGATTGCGCTTGCGTCGCTCCTCATTCGATATACTCGACAGATTGAGACCCGCTCCGCCCATCAGCGCATTCGGCTGCAGGCCAGCGGCGGCCGCAGCAGCTGCCGCATGATGGGCATGCGAATGGCCAGCTGCTGCCTGACCGAAGGCCGGTATATAGTGGCTCATGTACATGAAGGACTGCGAGAACATCGAGTTGGGAACCATGGGAAATGGCAGTTGATCCTTGTGCGGTGTTACGCTGCCGCCCATGTCGGGCGAGGGCGAACGAAACCCATCCAGATGGCTGACATCGTTTTCATTGTCCTCATCATCCTCATCCATGTCAAGGTCGTCATCCTCCTCCTTGGGCGTACTGCGCTTGGGTGTGCTGGCTCCCCCTGCTTCCTGTTCGCTGTTGCTCTGATTTTGTGTGCTGTTGTTGTTATTGTTGTTGTTGTTAGAATTCACTTCATCGCCAGCTGGCTCGAGAATCGCACTTGGATGCGCATTGGAGTTGGAATTGGAATTGTCATGTGTTTCGTTTTCATCGCCTGCTTTTACAACAGTGGTCTTCTCCTCGCGCTCCTCATCCAAGCCATTGACAACATCGCTGCCGGCACTCTTAGAGCGTTGCGGCTGCTGTGCGGACTGCTGCTGCTGTTGATGATGCTCGCCAGTACGCTCCTCCTCATCCTCATCCTCCAGCATGGGCGTGCTGCGATGCCGCTCGTGCGTGGTCAGCGACAGCGGTAACTGTGGCGTTCCAGGCCTGCTGGGCTCCTCCTCCAGCTCATCGGAGTGCTGCGACATGGTGTCTATATCCTCAGACTTGAGGCTCATCGGGCTCTTGAGATAATCGTGCGACATGGACAGATTGCCCATGCTGAGCGGCTGGCTACCAGCGCTGCTGCTCGAGTTCTGACCGAGCGGTGCATGCTGACTCAGATATCCATTCATGGCCGCATGGCCCAAGGCGCTCATCGCATTGCCAAGACTACCACCACGCATCTCAGCGCGCTTTTGGGCGGCACGTGCGTTCTTGAACCAGTACACCACATTGTTCACATCGAGGGGTTTGCGACCGCGTCGCGATTCCAGAGCGTTCAGCTGCACCACATAGGTCTGAATCTGCTGGCGCGAGGGATGCGGATTCTCCTGGAACCATTTCTGCAGCTTCGGCAGCTCCATCTCCGGATCGAAGCTGGTGCGCATGCGTGTTTTCTGGCTGGGATACTGAGCGCCATGCGATGCCGCATGGTGATGATGATGCATCGATGCGTGCATCGGATGGACGAGCATACTGCCATGATGGCCAGCCGCCTGTGCAGCCTGGCTAACAGCTGAATTTGGATGGTGTGCTGCCACCGCGGCCGCCGCAACAGCCGCTTCGTTGGCCAGCAGTAACGATTCCCGACTGCTCATGGCGCCCAAAGGGTTGGCAGCAGCGCCAGCGCCAGCTGCAGCCGCATGTGCCGCCGCAGCAGCAGCGGCAGCCATCGCTGTGCCCACCGGGAAGTCCATATCGCCGGGCACCACTGGGACCGTTGAGGGTGCCGACATAAACGGCAGCATCTTTGGTGTCATCGCGGACTGCGGAGAGAGCTGATTCGACCACCACTGGTCGAACTTGCGCCGCAGCTCATCGGATATCTCGCCGCCAGGCAATGCATACGTATTCTGGTGTGAACTGCGGCAAATCTGCGAGAGAGTAACCTGCAAAGAAATACAAATAATTGAACTGGATTAGCGAGGGGTGTCCTTGAATAGTAAAGAGCAAGACAGTGCACTGAGCAAAATGTATAGAATACTGTAAGATGACTCATTTATTTTAATTAGTATTTTTACCAAGGTATTTATATTTTTAGTCAACAACTCAAGAATAAAATAAATGCACATAAATATATTTAATTATTGTGTATTAAGTATTGGACTTTGTAACATTTCTGACACGATTTAAGTAAAGATTACTGATTTTATTCTATGTGTAGATGGCGTGACTGTACCCATGTGGAGCATGTGGCTGTCGCCAGTTCAGTTAGCTGGCTTAAGCCCACGTCTGCCGCACTAAGCGACTGTCATAAAAATCACGGTGGTTTTGTTGGTCGGTTGGTGGGTTGGTTAAGGCCCTCAAGTGGCGGGATTTACTTAGCCATAAATGTACGGTTGACTCTGATTGCGCTAGCCTCAAAATTGCCTATTACGATACCTGCTTCAGTCCCATACGGAACTGATACCACAAAACTGATATTAACTGACGGCCCCGTCAAGCGCGGGCGCGATAAATAGATAGTCCCTATGCCCCGATAGGAGCCCGACGACACACCAGCTTATGCGATTAAAATTGAATTTAATGTTCAGAAATAGAAACGAATTCATAAGTTCTTCGTGCAGGGCACAATGAGCAGCAATGCCAATCGCATGTGTCTAAGGGGTTGCGGGGGGCTGGGGGAGGGTGGTGAGTTCGGGTATACTGTATTAAATGTCCATAGATACTCCGCCTCTTTGCCGCTGTGTGTAGACAACGCGTACAATAGATAATGTCGGTTGCTATCAGCTAAGGAGGCGCCCCAAATCACTTAAGCTGCTCGAAACACACGAACGGGGTGTGAGTATAGTTGTGTTGTGTGTTATAGACAACTAATTGTAAATAAAATGAGCTGACGCGCATTACGATCGGAGCGGGCGGGGGGACGAATGATTAAATTGATTTTCATATCGGTTGCCTGCGTTTCGCAATTCTTGGAAGAGAGACGACAATTACCACGGGACCAGCGGAGTCACAGCGCAATGTGACCACAATCAAAGTGCATTTGACAGGGTATACACAAATTTGTGTGCTTCTAGGGAATTATAGAATATGCTTATCATGTGATTAGAGAAACGACTTTGCTAATATTAACCAGGGCCAATAAAATCAGTCACAATATCAATTGAAGGGTATTTCGGTCGTGATTTCCGATAGTGCCAACTACATCAATACAATACAGTCAACAAATATATATATACTATATGTATGTATAGTATTTATAGAACTCTGATTTATGGCTGGGATTTAGATAGATCATGTGCTGGCAACCCCTAGCTACAGTTAGTTGCCTTAAATCCTATCTAACAAATTAATAAGCCCTCATTCAATGTATATTGACATGCACGTATGTATATGTATATGTATATGTATATGTATATGTATATGTATATGTATATGTATGTATATATGTAGGTATGTATAGACACGTATTTAAAATCATCAGCCAAGTTGATAAGCGTAAAGCTGATTAAAAATGAAAACTATTGCAAAAAAGGATTAGTTAAGTGAACCAAAATAAATGAACTCGTCTTAACAACATTTCTTTGTAGTCATTATCAAAACATTTTCTATAAAATTCATATGCATACAAAGACACACACACACACACACACAGAAAGAAAAAGGGGGAGAGTGAGAGAGAGAGAGAGAGTGAGAGAGACGGAGAGAGAGAGAGAGAGAGAGAGAGATACGGGCAGACAGACGACATTGGCTGGTGCTGTTGTTGGGTTGAGGGGGAAAGCGCAAGGATATGCCGAAACTTTTGTTGCCTCTTTTCATGTGCGTGTGTATGTGTGTGTGTGTGTGTGTGTGTGTGTGTGTGTGTGTGTGTGTGTGTGTGTGCTTATGCCTCAATTCACGCAAATTAGCGGTTTGAGTTTTTAAGTTTGCTTTTATTCCCCCTCTGCTCCGCTTAGCTACCAGCTTAGTTTCGCACTGTCTACAAGCGCACGTGGGTAAAGAAACCACGGAGGGGGGTAAGGCATAAGTTTTAGAAACTCTTGTGAGGATGAGGGATAATAGCGTGGCAGTGTGGTGTCATCGTAAACCGCTTATGAATCATTATAGAATTTCGTCAACTTAATGTAACATTTTCTTGAGAGAGTTCAAAGCGAATGTCTAATTAGCAGCTCCACTCTCGAATCTACACTCACCTCGTCCAGGGGGCAGCCGGTGGATCGGAGCAGTGCATGCGACTGCAGCACAAGCAGCTTGAGCAGCTTGTCCTTAATCTCGCCAAAGGGGGATGTCTTCGGACGCAATATGACAATGCGTAGCGTTATAACTGAGGTCAGTTCACCCACAATATCGCTGACCGGCACTGCCGGATTATCGGAGATCTGTTCCAGCGGTATGGGCTTCCAATGTTTGATAATCAGGGAGCCTGCATAACGATAGAATAAGATGAGAATCTTTAGCAATCTGGTTGTCAGCACTGGCACCTATCATGCAACCCACCTCTTGCTGTGTTGGCCACCTCCTGCGAGTAGCCGAGACGCTGCAGCGCCGTTTGCACTATTTCGCTCCATGGCGTGGCAGCTGCAATGATCACGTAGCTGTCTGTCTCAATGTTGGGCCGACGTTTCCACGGCTGGCGTGTGTCAATGGTAAGCGAGGCATTTAGCGAGTGCACAGACTCAACCACGCAGTGCAGTGGAAGCGATTTCGCTGTAATGGACAGAGAGAGAAAACAGAGGGCACTTTTTAATTTATATAATTATAATCAGAGCTGGTTGTCAAGTGATGGAAAGCCATACTTGAATTCACAATTAGTTGCATTAGATAAAAACAAATTCAAATTTCTTCATCAAAATTTATTGATTCTAATTATTTAATTATTATTTTTGTTCCGGAATATATATATATTTATGAACTGATTTGAAAAGATTATTAATAATTTCATTTTAATCTTTATACATCACAATACAATTTTAAATAAAGGCTCTTATTAAAATTTCATTAAGCATTCTTTTAAGCACAATAGATTTTAGTACACAAAAGGCTCAATTCAATAATATACTAAACGAAGAGATACCCAAGAAAGTAACCTTATATACCCGCTTGGTTTCCCATTAAACGGACTCTCAAAGTGAATCCAACAAAAAGAGTTCCTTTCGTTAATACTTTTTTATTATTTTAATTGTACCTCTTCTAAATTGAATCATTAACTGATATTTTATATCCATTTTATTTATAATTGTTAATTGTAGGATATTGCACTGCCGTGCAACTATAATTATTTATAATTCTAACTCTGCTGCTGCTGCTGCTAATCGGTTTAGTTGGAAACGCTTCAAATGGCGGCAAGTGCAAATCGGGCAAATTAAAATAAGCAATTAAAACATATTTTATACATTGGCCATCTGCCCCGCACACCCCACAAATTCACGCCCAATGAAAAATGTTGAATAAATTATTACATGCTGAGGTTAGCCACAAAATGGTTTTAGCCGCTTACCCCCATACAATAGTCTATTTCCAGGATTATGAATATGTGCATTCATAACAGGCTACATAATTAGACTGGCTAGTTGGCCAAATTGAAAAATGTTTCCGCTAATCAACGGGAAATGATTTGCCAGCAGCACTCAGCACCTCGAGTATACTCTATTCAAATACGAGTACTCGAGGGTAAGGCTCTTTGAATATGGTCTAATTCAAATTATTGGCAACTTTTTGGCAACCAATTATGGAAAGCTTAAAAATAAATTACCAAAATATACCAATTGCGGACGCCAAATGCAATGCGTCCAAGCGCCCAAATGTCCAATCCAAAGCTCAAAATGCATTTCGCCTGCTGGGCACAGAGCGGTTGAAAAGGGGGTCATTGGGCGGGACACCAACATCGAATAGGCTTAACGCCCGTTGCTGGCCGCCATAATGGTATTATTAATTATTCCAATTATAAAAATTGTAAGCAGCACAGATTGGCGATTGGCGTTTGGGCGCGTTTTAAACAGTCCAACGACCAAATATTGCTTTCACAATTATGAGCGATTTTAACTTTAAATATATAATTGTACATACATATTTATATATATATATATCTATGTATATGTATATACACCGTACACTGTGTGTGGTGTTGTTTGTGCCTGCAAATCTTTTAATTGCCATAAAATCCTCATTGGGCATTAAAAATAAATATATCAATTGTATGAACATATTCGCGAAAAGAGTGAATTAAATATAAATGTAAATATGTACAGAGAAAAGGCATAAAAAATGTTATATGAAGAGAGCAGTTGACTAAAGTTATTTATAAAAATGTTTTGCCATTATAAAAAATTGTAGAACACAATTTTAGAGCATAATGGGAAAAGGATTCATGAGATCTGATTTTCTGGAATAATTGGCTTAATCTTTTTAATCTTAAAGAAAGTGAAATTTGTAAAATAAATGACATAAAACGGTAATTTCATAACTCCTTATATTCATAAGTGTTCATAACAAACCACATATTGTTCATTTGTTTAAATATCAGATATTTAGATAATGTATAATTTATAAACTGTGACAAGCCATTTACACTTTAAAATAATAGCGCGACACAGCAAATTGTTTTGGCTGGTTTAAATCCATTTGCCAAATGCGTATGTAAGTCTTTATTAAAGCCATTTACGGTGTCCTTTTTGCTGTGTGTTGTGCGTTATAGACGCAATATACCCGTTTCACACATTGGAGTGTTTAGCGGGTAGACAAAGTTGCATTTTGCTGACCGGCTTGGCGTTGGCATTATGTAAACGCATCATAAATGGCGGATAAAAATTGTGTGTAGGCAATGCCCCCAAGTGCCATAGGTGCGTTTTGTGGCAGCGGCTTTGGCCGAAAAATCTCGGCCAAAGAACAATGAAGCGAAAATGCGTGGCGCAACCGAATAATAAACTCATTAAATCTATTATCCTGGCCCATTATTCTGGTCTCTAACTCAACTGAAAATCGGATTTAAACTGCATATGCATATGCGTAAGTGGCAGCTGTGTGGGTGAGTGTGTGTAGAGTGAATCACCTAGTGGCTAAATTCAGTACGCTAATTGTTGCGTCGCTCAGTCCAGGACTCTGTTTTGTGAAATCGCCCTAACCTGAAAATGGTAGCGCTTTGGTATGGTATTGGGGGATGCTGTGCTCATATATTCGTTTGCAGGCAGTGCAGCGCTTAAGTAGCCCCGCATCGCTGCCAGGCGGCGCTTATCCTTATTAGCATTATCAGTGGCAAAAATAATCGAGACAGCCAGCGACGAACAGGCCAAACAAATTGAATTAAAAACGTTTGAGGCATTAAATCTCAGCCAGGCTGGCTGGGAGGCTGGCAGGCAGGCAGACAGACTGATAGCCCCTCCTTAGCCTTACCTCCACCCGTCCAGACCACCCGCCCTAAGCTGACAAACGATTTGTAATGAACTCCACTTGCATAGGCTTAGACGCTGTCGTCGCGCTGTCTCCAGCCTCCCCGAGTGCTGACTTTTCCATTTTCTCTCTTTCTTTTTGTGCCCTGTGTCACAGCTTAAGATTTATTAACCTGCGCCAGCGTCGAAGTCGATAGCGTTGCCAGCTCTGTGAGCGCAAAAATAATGAAGTTGCCAATTGCCTGTGTTCTCTGTTAGCGAACAATTGCTCGGTGTACCCTGTACTTGTACTTTAAAGATCAAAGAGCAAGCCCAAGATAATCATATCTTCATTTTGTAAGGCCTAGTTACTGAATAAATTCATTAGTAACTCAACGCATTAGAGATGACAGCGGGCAATACAGAATATCTCTAGCGTTTTTAGAACTTTTATTAAAAATAGTTCTTCATTTTCATAGCTAACAGGTACAGGGTATTTAATGGTTATACAATTAATTTATAAGTATAACAAATTGTAATCTCTTTTGATCTTTATTCAGTCGTTTTCAAAACTGTTGTATGCTCGCTTATTCTTGATTACTCCACGGTTTGCCAGTTGCAAAATTGTGCTCGCTGCTTTTGGCTTATCGCAATCTGAATTGAAAGTTCAAATAAATGGGATATTCGTGAATCGGTTTGGTTGTTAGTGCCGTCAGCTAAGCTCCTTCGAGTATGCAATGGACCACGATGAGAATGATTACGCAAAAGCCCAGAGGTGGGCCAATTAGCAGCAGGGGAGAGCAACCCCCAAAAAGATTTTAATCTTTAAAACTTTTCATAGCATCCACGTGTGCAGATTGCCATGAAATTTTATTGTGGAATGGAACTAAAACCTCAATAAGACCACCTTGATTGTCGTTTGTGTATGTGCGCGCATTTGGCTTTCTTATAAGAAATTGACCAATTGACTAACCACAAGAAGCGGCAACGACTGCCGAAAGGCCAACAATAATTATGAATCGCCTACGCACAACATCAAAACGACTTAATCCCCAACTAAGAAACACACACATACCAACACACACACACACACAAGTGCACAAATTGAGTGGGTTGCTAAGAGTGTGGAATAGGGTAGAAAGGACAGATGTAGAGCAATTTAAGTGACTGCTGGCAAGGATTATATAAGTTTACGGTTTAGTTTGCTCTGACAATATCTTGACCAACAAATATTTGTAGTTCTGCTTTTTTGTGACTGCCAGTGGTTGAGGTTGACCTGAGTCCTTGTTGGAGGGATGGGGATTTGGTTTGGAGATTTTTCGGGTGGACGAATAAAGTGTGTATTGTTTATTTATAAGAAAATGTTCATAATTTACTTATTAAAATGATTTGAGTGATTTGGGTATGAAAATTAAAATTTTACAAGTTTTAATAACCGTAAAGGATATTTGCCTAATGTGTAAAGGACATGCAAAGGCCAGGGGCAGGTGCGGCTATGCGGAAGGGTCCTGCTTAAGCCAAGTGAACTGTTTGAATTTGCTTATCAGTGGTTGACCAGTGAAATGTCTTAGTGCTGAGAGCCGCACGAAAAATCTTAAGGATTTTAAAGGACTTAAGTGTCAGGCATGTTTGTTTCTCTCTGTGTGTGTGTGTGTGTGTGTGTGTGTGTGCGTGTGTGTGAAAGTAAGAGTGACCGGAAATTAAGCAATAGTCTTAAGGAAATTGCCACAAGTTTTTTGGGTGCCACGAAGCAGGCAATTTGATGTCTTTTCCCAGACTTCTTACAGCAGTCCTTAAGTCTTTATGTACTTGTGTGTGTGCTTGCATTTTTATTTACACTTCAACTTAAGTCCTACTTAATTGCAAACTCTTTTCAGTAGAATTTTTAATGCATGCATTTTAATTTATAATGCCGAGCCAACAACGGGACTACTTAAGAACTTTACAGAACACACACACACACACACACATACATCTATTTGTGCACCCACATGTCTTACGCATGGTTGCCTATTTCTCACACCTTGGACGTTGCATATCCCTGTATAAGTCCTGGTTCACGTCCTGACAACACCCGCCAGCCGTGTTGCAACTTGCAGCAAAAGAAAACATATTAAGAAGCACAATAAAATGAAAATCAACTTGACTGCCCCGGAGCCATGTGCCGCAGGAGATCAAGCAAAGCACAAAAGATGGAAAAATGCATCAAAAATGAGGAAAAGTGGGAAAACTTCTATATCAAATTAAATATACTCTACAAATTTCTTTAATATATACTGCTTGTAAGTCAAAATGTTGGTTTATTCACAGAGGCCGTAGAACCAACTAATGGAGGACAACTGA